GGGGAGGGCATGTAGGCCTCTTTGGTTCTTCCCACTCCTTTCTTCCTCTTAGTGAAGGACCACACTTGCTGAACACTAACTTCAGGATAGGGTGTTGAAGAGCTTGACTGCTGCTTTGCATCCTGGAGAAGGTGTCTCTTTCCCTGTATTAATATTTTGTTTGCTACCTGCCCATCTGACCTGGGGGTTAGAATCCAGGATTTTGCCTCCTAACCAAGACAAACACTGGCTATTTCAAAAGGAAGGGTAATTCATCCTCCGTGTGCTTTTCTAGTCAGCTGTGCTTGGGTTTGCCTCTGGTGACCATGTTATGCCTGGAACCCTAAGGAGTTTCCTTGTTACTGTGTTACCTGAGCTAATGTGATGACTTCTAATGTTCTTCCAGCTTAATCTACCCTCCTGAGTCACAGTAAAGTAGGGTGTGGATGCATGTTGCTCCCACTGGATCTTCCATGCTTTCAAAGTTTCAGGCTTCTGTCCTGAAAAGAATGCAAAAATACATCACTGGAAATTGCATATTCATATTGCCCCATTGAAGAGTGCTCTTTATGTCCCTGATACTGCAGGTGTCCAAGGCAGTGTCTAGAAACTGCCAAGTGTCAGCATCTTGCCCTCTGGGTGGTTTTAGTGAATAGGAGCGTTCTTTTGATGAAATGATTGTCTTGAACCTATATGGTTTGAAATCATCGTTCAGGTTTGTGCACAGCTTCTGGGAAGAGCTTTTGCTGCTTGTCTGATCTGCTACCAGACTCCAGAAAGAACAGAATCGATTAGAAAACTGGGTTAGTTACTCTACATTAAAAGAAAGAACAAAAAAAAAAAGGCAGCTAAGATCATTAAGCCGTTCAATAAAACAATCATAATTTTTTAAAGAATTGAGCTGAGCCCAGGCAGCTCATTTCAGATGTGTATTCTGGCCTCTTTGGTGGTTCTTCCAAACCTGGCATTTTTGATTGCCTGTCTGCCCCTCCTTTCCCTCCCACATGCTTGACCTCCAACAGCATTCCTTCGCTTGTCTTAAGACCTTACATGTCGTTTCACTCTCCCTCTCCCCCCAAGAATGTGATCCTGGCCTGAGCTTTCTAATTGTGTGTAGCAAGGATAAAACTCCTTGCCTCGCTTGGCTGCCCCCTTGTTTGGAAACTCACCCTAAACATTTCCACATGGTTTGCACTCGTCTTGCACAGCTAAAATTTTTTTGCGAAGGGTTTTTTGCCTTTAAACTTTTTCTTGTTTAAAAAAACCCTCCAGCTTCTTCTACCTTGGGCTGCTGGCACTGACCTCGCCTTGTTACTGTTTGCATTTCTTTTGTACCTTTTTGCAGCTGAAATCTCTATGGGCTTTTAAATCTGTCAGCAGCCGCTACCAGGCTCAGTGTGCAATTTAGCTCACTGTTTTCACAAGTTTCCCAGCCCTGAACACTTTCCAAATGAGCCATTGTTGGGCTGAGTTAAAGAGGTATTGTCTCTGCTTGGGCTAGGTTAGTGTGGGTGCCAGAATCTGCATGTGTAGCGTTCTTAGCACTGCAATGTCATTTTGATATTGGACCCCTGGACACTTCCTTCACCAAACACTTGCAAATATATAGGAAAAAGAAAACCCTGCCAAAACTGATTCATTGAAATGTTATTGGAAGCTTGTATTTATATTGCTGAAACTCTCATTTAGACATCTTCGGCTGTCCCTGCTCGTGCAGCCTGCTTGCTATGGAGACCTTTCTTATTTGTTTAATTCCCATTGGCACCTGAAACTGGCGACTGTGATTGGAGGCCTGTTTTGGTCAGAATTGAATAAACACAGAGCAAGTAGCAATCTCTGCTTTGATGATTTTAGAGACACATTGTATAGGAAGGGAGTCTATTGTTATCCGCCTTTTACAGAAGAGAAACCAAAGCTGCGGAATTCGGTGGCGTATCCAGAGGAAACTTGTGACAGAGTTGTGAGTCAGCTCCAGGTCACAGAATTATAGAATCATAGAATGGTTAGAGTTTGAAGGGACCTTAAAGATTTTTAAGTTCCTCCCCCCCGCCATGGGCAGGGACACCTCCCACCAGACCAGGTTGCTCAAAGCCCCATCCAGCCTGGTCTGGAACACCTCCAGGGATGGGACATCCACAACTTCTCTGGGCAACCTGTTCCAATGCCTCACCACCCTTAGTGTTAAGAGTTTCTTCCTAGTATCTAATCTAAATCTCCCCTCTTTCAGTTTAAAACCATTGCCCCTTATCCTATCTCTACACTCCCCAATAAAGAGTCCCTCCCCATCTCTCCTGTAGGCCCCCTTTAGGTACTGAAAGGCCGTTATAAAGTCCCCCTGGAGCCTTCTCTTCTCCAGGCTGAACAGCCCCAACTTTCTCAGCCTGTCTTCATTAGAGGGGTGCTCCAGCCCTCTGATCATCCTTGTGGCTCTCCTCTGGAGCTGTTTCAAGAGGTGCATGTCCTTCCTATGCTGAGGACTCCAGAGTTGGACACAGTACTCCAGGTGGGGTCTCATGAGAGCAGAGTAGAAGAGCAGTATCACCTCCATCTACCTGCTGGCCACTCTTCTTTTGATACAGCCCGGGATGTGGTTGGCTTTCTGGGCTGCCAGCATGCACTGCCAGCTCATGTTTAGCTTCTCATCCACCACTACCCCCAAGTCCATCTCCACAGGGCTGCTTTCAATCCATTCTCCGCCCAACCTGTACTTGTGCCTGGGATTGCTATGTGCAGGGCCTTGTACTTGGCCTGGTTGAGCTTCATGAGGTTTGCACCGACCCAGCTCTCAAGCCTGTCCAGGTCCCTCTGGATAGTATCCCTTCCCACCAGCATGTTGACCATATCACACAGCTTGGTGCCATCAACAAACTTGCTTAGGGTGTGCTCTCTCCCACTGTCCATGTCTCCAACAAAGATGTTGAACAGTACTGGTCCCAGTACTGACCCCTGAATTATCCTTCATTTTACAAATGTAAGCTTGACTAGGCTGTAAAAGGGTGTGTTCCACCAAACTCAGTTTTCTTAACAGAGACTGAATTTGCTGGTCTGTTCAACCTGATGTGATGCTGTGTGGAAATACACCCTTTGTCTGAAACACCGGTAGTCTTTTGCTGGAGACTGTGTGGTGCAGAGGACAAATAGTTCAACCTGTAGGTTGCTGTTGACATTACTGACACTAGACAACTCTCTCGTGACCTTTGTTTAAAAGATACAGTGATTTCACAGTTCTCCTTCCACGGAAGACCAAGCTGGTACTGCAGGCCAGGAAAAAGGTGTGTTGAAGTTTTAGCTTTTCTCTAAGAGTCGTAAGGAGTGTCTGTGTCACATAATCCAGTACTTTGAGTTTTCCACTTCATGCCTTTCACGTGATCTTCCCCATCCTTGATTTAACATTAGTAGTGGAAGTTTGACATGGGAGTTCTTCAGGCTGCCTGTCCTTTTAAGTTTGCTCTGACGGGGATCACTTGCAGTAGCAAGGTAAAAATTATGACAACAATAGTCTTTGGAGTCTTTGGGAGCCACTGAGTTCTCTGCCTTTTGATTGAAGGCTAGTCAACATGCCTGGTCCAGGTTCCTCTCAACCTATCAGAAGTTACCAATGTTGACTGACTTTTTTCTGTTGTTCTTTTTCATAATCTCCAGGATGAATTGGATCTCACAGACAAGAACAGAGAGGCTATGTTTGCACTCCCTCCAGAGAAGAAATGGCAGATTTACTGCAGCAAAAAGAAGGTACAGGTGTTGTCTTGTTTGAAGTAACTCACCAATACATTCTGTGTGCATGTGCATAGTTACTGATATACATCTAGATATGAACTGTGTGTTTATCTACTGTTTACTCAAGAACATGATTAAGTGATGTAAGGATTTTAATTAGCATGAACGTGGCACAACTTTCATATAACTACTGTATGCATGTGTGACTTCTATTCACAAGTTTAAATCATATGTTGTCCCATCTTGAATCCTTTACATGTTTGTTTTTGGGTTGTTATTGTTGTGGGTGTTTTTCCCTTTGAGCTGGAAGAAGAGCTATCATAGAAATATTTTAAAGAATTTTTAAAAGCTTCTGTAAGTTACTCAGAATAGAAAATGTATTACTGAAATCTTTCAGAATGTCTTCAAATATCTGTAAAGTATGTAATAATAGAGGTGTCTTAAAACTTGGTAGTCAAAGGTCTTCTAGAGCTTGTAGGAAATGTTCTGTATTGCGGTGGAAAGTGAAGAAGACTAGCTCCTATAAATTTCTATGTAAAACTTCTCCATTCAAGTTCTTAAAATTTCTGACAAACCAGTGAGAGGGGCACTGCAGAGGCTGATGTATCACATTGGGTGTTTTGTCACTGTCAGAATGACGGACAAGTGAATTGACAAGTTGTATCACTGTTGTGAAACTTGTAAAAGAGGAATTCCTGCAGGAGTGGTGGTATAAGTTTTGCTGCTCTAGGAAGGAAACAGTCGGAAACAAAGATAGCCTGTCTTCATAGGTGAGATGAGCATCAGTATCTGTCTTTGTGGCCCTCCTCTGGACCCACTCCAACAGGTCCATGTCCTTCTTGTGCTGAGGGCTCCAGATGGCTGCTGAGGTCTCCTTTCCTTGGGGAAAAGGTGGGGGGGAATTTAGCTTTCTTACCGTGAAAGAAAAGCTCAGGGAAACCAATCAGATGGGTGCTTTGCATCTGTGTTGCTTTTGGCTGAAATGCATCACACAGGGAAGTTAATACCACCAAATTAGTTACAGTGCCTGTGAGCTACCAATAATTCAGGAAGTGCGTAAGAGCAGTCTAGGCTCAGCTGTCTTTGGTGTTCCCTCCATTCTTCTTCCTGCTGGTACACAGAGCTTGCAAGTGGAGCGAAGGTGCAGGCTGCTGTGATTAATGTCTGCTTTACATTTTTGCTGGCTGGCTCAGCTGGCTTTTTCAGCTCTGGTGGGAGAGTATCTATTTGTAGCTGTCTTGGAGAACCACACATTCCACCTCCTGGACCAGTCTGCCTTGGCGGGAAGATTCAGGCTTTAATAGGCCTTAATGCATTTAATATGTTGGTTGGATTCACTACATAACATTTTTTTGTTTCTTTTTTTTTTTTTTTTGTTAAAGCAGTGGATTTGATATAAAAATCTCAAAGACCTCCAGAATTAAAGAAGTTGCATACTGAAAAATCTTTATAACGCATTTATAGTGCAACCTCAGTTAGCTCAACTCCAGATATCCAAAATGATGTACTAACTGGAACAGGATGCTGTTGCCAGATGTCTATTCATTACATTGTAGATCCTTTCAATTACTTGAAACCTTAACTGTCCAATGTTATTCATTGTTTCCCTCACAGGCAGGCAGATGATGGGTGATGACATCTCTCTCTCTAGCCCACTACCTAATCCACCTATCATCATTGATTTACAATGGCAGATAAGCTTGTTGTAGGCTTCCCTTTAGAGGAAAGCTGTCTTTTCCCTGAAGAATTTGTAATCTAATTTTAGCCACATAGGGCCCAATTCCTCACTTGGCAGAATCCTGTCAGCCATCCAGGACAAGCCCCCAGAGAGCCCTGTCTTGCCTATGTTGGATTCTTTGAGTTTCCTGGGAAGCAAGGGCTCTACGCTTTGTACTGTGGCAAGTGAAAACACTATGAGCTAGAAGGTCAAGAAGTGCAGGTTGAGACAACTGCTCACAATCATTAATCTCAGATGCCCTTTCTAGTCTAAAAGTAACGGAAGGTCAGAGCTTCCTGATTTGCTCCAAAGGTGGTGAGATTAGTGGACTATCTTAAGTAAACAAATGTCACTTGCCAAAATGAAGATCAGTCATTGTTGTAGGTGCACTGTCCGTTTATCTTGGCAGTTAGACTTTGGATATAATCTTTCTATGGTACTTGTTCCCAATGTGGTAGTAGAAAGTCATTATTGTATAAAAAAACTCATTCCACCTGTTTCTTATACCAAACATTCCTGAAGAAATGGGGGAAGTATGTATGTCTGTGCATTTAAAGTTCTGTGCCAGAGGCATAGCTTGCCACTCAACGTTCCACAGTACTCAAAGGAGATTCAGTTCTGGATTGAAATTTCATGAATGTGGATGATATCTAAAGAGGAGCATTCACACAGTATTATACAGCCATGCTTGTGATGGTCACTTTTGGCCATTCTAGGTTCATATCTGAAACCATTCTTATTAAAAAAATCCCCAATGATTTGATCTAAAGCAGTAGCTTCAGCTAGCAGCTGTAGTGAATGCTTCACTCTTATTTGTGGAGTAGCTATTTGCAAGGAATTAAGGTTGCTCTACTGGAAAATGTTAACGTGTTCTTAGTCTCAGCTGTCCTCTACTTTGCCATTAATGAGTACAGAATGGACGATGAGAGATGCAGTTGTATTAATTTGCATCAGAAAAATCATTAATCTGTCACCACTGGTGGCACCCTGACCCTCTCCTCAAAACACCGGTACTACATGGTTTAGATTGCCTCTTTCTCTGTAGTATGAACTTTCCCTGATACCATATTGAGTTATAATTAAAGCTACATGTAGACAGAACGCATATGATGATATCCTCCCCCAGTTCAGGTACTTTATTATGGTTTTGTTTAGGATAATCCTCAAGTCTCACCATCAGCTGAAAGTCAGACTTACATAGAACATATAATCCACTTCTGTAATTCTAATTCCTTCCTGTACAATTATGTCTAGATTTCCTAATAGTTGTATGTTTTGAAGGAATTAGATCAAGCACTAGACTATGGTTTCAGATGTATTTATTTGTAAATTTCTGATGTCAAGGTTTACAAAACCAGTCATCCAGTGCAGTTTTACCAGGAGCTGTATCTAGTACATAATCTCATTAAATATTGAACAAATAATGATATGAAAAGAAAAAGTTGTCAGCTCAATTATTTCATGTGTAAATGAGCCATATTTGGATCCCAAAGAGGGTAGAAAATGCACTGTTTTGGCACACATTACTTTGGATGCAGTCTGGGTTTCTAAGAATGAGGCCTTTTTGTGCAGGCAATAGCTTGTTGCCTTCTGTACAATTCTACAAGTTCTTAGACTTATTACTATTGGAAAGCAAGTCAGGTTGTTTTCTTTTTATGGCCTTTCCTGCCTCCAGAGACTAATTTGTAAGCCTTCAGTTGAGCACATTTTAGTAGGAAGCACACACATTTTGCAGAGTTAAACAAATCAGGTTTTTTTACTTCTGTGTTTCTTTGAGAGAAAAATTGGTAGCAAATCTCTTTCCAAATTATATTAAAACTGGACTAGCTGTATCATACAGCTTCTCTCAAAACAAACAAATCAACTGACAAAACACTCCATCCTAATAACTGTGTTGAGCTCTCCTAGGTATTTTGGAGTTATTTTGTACTCTTCTGATTTTAATTGTACTCTGGAATACCTGCTTTAAGTTGATTGTGCTTTGCCTACTCAAGTGAGATTATTCATACTCAAGTAGTGAAGCAATAAGCAATGCACTGCAACTTTCTGGAAAGAGACATTTATGGCATCTGATAAAAGGGTACATGCTTATAATACTTAAATTGATTATATTTTTTTTCTGTCATGGGAAAGTATAGCTTGATATTGTGCAGCTGGATACAGAGTACGGTATTTCTGTCCTCTACCCCCATGCCCATGCCTGCCTTCAGACTCTTGCAGATCTGTAAGCAAAATTTCCAGTCCAAAACCAGGCTGTATGACTGCTATAAAACCTGCTTGAAACCCAGCTACACTTCCAGCTTCTCGAGGGTGCAATTCACCCTGTACCTTGGATTCATCCTCCTCTTAAAACTGTAAATATAAAAATTAATTCATATGTATGATATAAATTCATATATGTATAAAAAAAAAAAAAGGAGAAAAAGAAATCTGCTGGAGGCATCTAAGCTGTTTTTGTAGCTTTTGATAAAATTACTTTAGCCTAGCAGGGATGAAGCAGAAGGTGGATGCAAATGTAAAAGCTGAAGTCATCTTTGCCTTTGGAGAAAAGTGTAAGAAGTGAGTGAAAGTTCCTGCACCTACTGTTTGTTCCTGGGTTGTTCTGTTCTGTGTTTTTGCACTGTGAAGAGGCAGTTATTTCTCAGCTAGAGTGAAATGGCAGGGCTTTTCTTCCAGAACCCTGAGGTCTTTTCTTTGCATTAAAGGCTTCATGAGGAGGGTCTGTGAGCAGGAGGCTGCAGTACATCTCTTGTATTTAGATAGGAGTTCTGCAATTTATGCTGTAGGAAAGTATTCATTTCTTTGGTTTCCTACTTTAAAGGAGGAGATATATATGGAGATATTCAGAGGAAGATAGATATTCCCTAAAGAAGAGAGAAAATGGATCTTCATCTGGTCTCATTTAGTGATACAATGCACCAGATGAAGATCACACCATTGTGTTGTCTGAGTGTGGGTTTTTGGGTTTGTATTGTCTGATCTGAGCTATGAAAGCCCTTTGGGGTTCATCCTTTCTGTATGAAGAGTGCCAAGCACGTGGTTGTCTCATAATAAATGAAGTGGGTGGTTTGAAGTTGTATTGTTTTCAATTCTATCTTCTTGCAGTGTTTTTTCCTCTTTGAAATACTCTTGGAGTCTGTTATTGATTTGGAATATTAAGCTGTTTTGTTATGGATTTATAGTTATAAGGAGTATTTAATGTGTCCCTTTAAGTTCCCTTCTTTAGAGCTGTTATTCCACACGCTGTGTCTGGGAGCAGCGGACACGAACACACAAGATGATTTGCTGCAGTATTTGA